GGCAATGCTTTTGTTATTCCTATGTTGCGGATCTCCATAGGCGTTGTTGACGACCTCCATGTTCCCGCTGCTCGTTTGCCCCCTTCTCTTATATAAAAAAAAAATATACTTATTGAAGTAGAGATCACCGTTCTTACCATATTCTCATAGGTCATTGATGGGGAGAGGAAGGGAAAAATCGTTCATTGTTCAGATGTCTAGGCAGGGTCACTGCCCTATTTCAGGGAACTTAGTTGCCTTGCTTGTTTACCATCTTTAATTAAGAGAGCGAGAAATCCAAACAAATCTGTGGAAAAAACTGTATATTACTTAAACAAACTTTATTTCCCTCAGGTAAAAACGGATCAAAATCAATCGAACCTTTCGGGAAGAAATAGAAAACGAAAACATTTTTCGCATCTTGTAAATTTTCTGTGAAAAAGGGCTAATTAGCAACCTTATCGTCGTCATAACGACGACCTATTTTTGCATTTATTATGAGAGAAAGTGGCTCGTGTAAGGAGTTAGAGGGTATTTACTTTAATGATGAGGAAATCTGTTGAAGATCGAGTGCTGTTACCAGGTATTAAAAAGCATCGACGTCATTATATAACGCATAATGTATATATAATTATATATACCAAATAGCTAAAATGTTACATCTATAATAACTTACCGACAAATTATCTGGTCAAGTAAGGATAAAGTCCACTACACACGGCCAATTTTATCTAAACATTCAAATCATTTAGATAAATTTGACGTGTGTAGACAAGACTAAGGACTAAAAAGTTTGCAGTTAGAATTATCTGAAAGATCGGACTGTTCAGATAAAACTGAGCGAGTAGCTTAAGTGAAATTAAAGCACTCACTAGCGCACCTTTTATGCCCTCTGTGTCCATGTAGGTTTTACATATTTTCGGAGAAGCAGCGAATTTCAACGGACTAGACGTTATTTGACTAATGTCATTACACACTTGCTGTAATCATAATGTGTACACAGAAACCAAGTAAATTTAATTACACTCATTAACGGAACGTTTGAGTTCTGCGTTAACATTGCATTAAATCGACTTTACAGTTCACAATTCTAAACCAGCATCTGACTCCGTCCGCATGGAAATAAAAAACAAAAGTAAGCAGCCTATTAGTTTTTACAGACTATCCGCTACTACTATACAAATTTCATTGAGATCCGTTCAGCCGTTTAGGCTACAAACTCTAACAAACTTCCGTCCATTTAGACTTCTTTTTATTATATAAAATGGCAAAGGAGCAAGCGGCCACCTGAATCCACCGAAATTGAAAGCGACCGCTGCCCATAAACATCCGCAATTGCAGATGCGCTGCTTTCCCTTAATTGACGGAGGAGGAGACGCACATAAAAAGGGAAATTTCCCCTTCCTATGCGTCTCCTCCATTGTCAAATCCACTTTTCCTTTCCATCCTTTCCTCTTTAGAAAAGGGTGGAAAGGGAAAGGGACTAAAATTAATCCTCCAGCACCACACTCATTAGACGAAACGCGGAATTGCTTCCACTTCACGCCTGTCTTCTGTGTGGTCGTGGTATTACACCTGGCGAGCCGGCCCATTCGTGCGAAGATGTTAAAGCGGGCTCTACCGCTGTAAATAAAGCGGGCTCTACTACTATTCATTTACAATATGTATTAAGAAATATAGACATACTGAGTTTACTTTATAGAGAAGTTAAAAAATGTAATCATGCTCCGATTTTGTAATAAGATTAAAAAGTAAATATCTTAATAAGAAGTTCCTTTTACACAAGGATCGCGTCTTTTCAATATAATGAAATCTTGAATGGTTTCGTCTAGCTAATATTAAGACGGGCGCTCTATGTCTCGGGGCTTGTAATAGAAATTTGCCGTTAAAATAATCTTGAGCTTAGTTGTTCTTCTTTTATAAATTCGCTAACATGTTCTCTAATAATATTTAATAAAGTTTATTACTTTTTTTAATTATTGTTTAAAAATCTTTGTCTACACAAGTGTTTTTATTTACTCAAGAAGGGCCGTTTTAATAAAAAACATTTTCACAGATTCTATACAACTACGTTGGCCATTTTCATTCATGTTATTTTATTTTATTAATTTAGTATTATTTACATAAAAATATTGATTGTGGCCTAGTCACTATAAATTTAGGATAGGCTCCGGACATCTTATTGGGGACGTAAGTGAGCTGGTGATGATGATGACATGAATAGGCATAAATTCATTGTTCTAAAAATATTTTATAATGATTTGACTGTGGTATCTATTTTTGACCGACTTCCCAAAAGACGGAGGTACTCAATTCGTCTGCATGTTTTTTTTTAAATTTTTTTTTGTTGTTATAAAATTTAAAATGTCTTACATTATTTTTTTTTTACGTTTATAAATTTTTCTTCTTTCATCATCATAGTGTATCTTGTTACTAGTAGTCTACCGGAGGCGACTAAGCAGGTGTTATAAATATTGGTTTCCACTACCGAAACATGTTTACTAAAAGCGTGAGCACTTATAAGCACATAAGAATCGTAGCGCGACTAAACAGTTGTGCGATAGTTTAGTATCAGGTGCTTGCAAGCTCTAAAATATAATTTCTTCTTTTTATAGCAGCAGACTTTCTACATAAAGATTAATGTTTTCACCACTAGATGGCGATACTTTACAAAATCATAAAGTTAAAAATATTCCCACTCTGCCAAGAGATGGCATTGCTTGTTAGAAAATTTTGTAGCCACAGTCTTTTTTTGTATGTTTCATTCTTTCGTATAGATGGGGCTACGAATGTAAAGAAGGGGAATTTTAAAAAATCTAACATAGACTTCAACTACAAAAATCTTGAATCACGTCGTTCTGTATTACTAATAATAAATTTGGGTCTTTTGTTTTTTCTTTTTAAATCATAATTGTTAGTTACTTCCTGGTATCTTATCCTGCATGTTCTCGACCAACGCATCAGTTCCAAGATAAACTTATTGCAGTCTTAAATCTTTAGATGAATGTTGAAGTTACGGAAAATTAATGTTCTTAAATTTTTTTTTAAATTTTTAGTTTTACAACTCGCAATTTATTAGTTACTTGATTCTATTGAAAATATCCATTACCAGTTGGATTAAGGTCCTGATAATTGGGTTCAAAGATTGTTTTTATGGAAATCATGCGTATTATAATGTTCCATACAATGCAGTCTTGATCAAGTCTCTTAACTCTTGTGATTTTAGAGCTAATGGTGCTATTGTTTATGTAGTTTATATGTTACTGTTTATATGTTTATATGAATTAAAAGAAAAAGGAAGTAGCCTTTGTGTTCTTCCAGACTATCCTCTACATTCACGCCAAATTTCATCTGGATCCATTAAATTGTTAAGGCTACAAATTCCAAACATCCATCTAAACGTTCGCATGTATGATACTATATATCTTTATAAAATATTAGCTTTCGCCCATGACTCCGTCCGCCTAGAAATTAAACAAAATCGAGTACTTTATGTGTTCTTCCAGACTATCTTAACATCTATACCAAATTTCATCGAAATCCGTTCAGCCGTTTGTCTAAAAAACTTTAACAAACATCCATCCATCTAAACTTTCGCATTTATAATATTAGTATGAATATGGAGTAACTATGTATATAATACTGTAAAAAGAATAATATTGAAATAAATCTTAATAATATCACAACTGTCTTACGAAGGTCAAAGAAGTTCGAATTACAACACAGATCTTCTATCATTGTCTTTTTTAATTATTCCTCTGACATCGCGAACAAAGACGTGCTTTTCAATCGCTTTATAAAGGTTCAAAGTTCGTCTCGACTATTCTTAAAGTATTGTTGTCACAATATCTCGTAATGTACTTGCTGACCCAAAAGACGTTGTCAAGATACAAATGCTTAGGCTTTCCGCAGTTTAAAACATTTTATCTATATCTGTACTTATGTTATATAGAGGAAAGATTTGTATTTTTGAATTTTTGTATGTATTCGATTCATGTACTAAACTGCTGATTTTAAAAATTCTTTCACCATTAGAAAGTAAAGTATTTTATGTGTGATTAAAATAGGATATGTTTTATTATTATTGTTTTTCGTTTCATGCGGGCGAAGTCGCGAGCAATAGCTAGTTATTAATAAATACGTGAAGCTTGAAATTGAACATAGTTATGAAATGCATAAAGCCAACTTTGAATAAAATCATAGTCATTAATATAGCTTATTTCAAATATCTTGCCAGCTCCAGCACATCGGTGCGCCGCGTAGTAATCACCCCCCGCAACCCGCTACGCCCCGCTACTACTAAAATTGTGTACTGCGCAGACACTCACGTGAATTACGAAGCTGCTAAGATATATGAAAACTATAATACACAAATGCAGAGCATTAAGTGTTTTTTTCATTTCTTTATATCGTAAGATAGCAAACGACCAACTGCTACGTGAATTCGCCGAAATAGTGAAGCGACCTTTGCCCATAGATATCCGGAAAAGCAGACACGTTACCTGACTTTAGTCTAGGAGACACACAGAGAGGGTATTACCCTTTCATTAAAAAATGCAGCGAACAATCCAATTGCTTTATAACTAGCTTTTGACCGCGACTCTAGTCGCGTGGAATTAAAAGAAACTTAGTAACTAACACATGTATTCTCGCGGACTATGTTCTAAATCTGTGTAAAAGTTCTTGGAGATAGATTAAAGTACGAGGTACAACCATCTATCTAAACTTCAGCAATTATAATCATACAGAAGACTATATTAATTATTGAACAAACCACGGTAGAGTATATTTATTGTATTATCGTTTATCGCACGTGCTGGTACTAGCTCGTTTCGGTACGGCAGTTCGTAGCGTGCAGTCTCCGGCTCAACCGCTGTGGTTCCGGAGCTCGAGTTTCAACTTCGTGCATTTCGAACTTCGAACGCGAAGGGAACGCACGTGTCTTACAAATCTTACGAACTTTTGTCGAGAAACTTAAGATCGTGGAAGTAAAATAATATTGGCCATTTTAAAAAAAAACTTTTTTTTATATGCATGTTATAACATAAGAGTTGGTGTTAATGTTTTAAGTGCACTGGTGTGTAAAGAAGGGCCAATATGGAGTACAAATACACTATTCATATAGTGTTCCTGTTTATTGTTATGGAAATAGTTGGTAAGTGCTTTATTTTTAAATTATTAAACTAAAAACTAAATGATTATAAAATAAAATAATAGTTTTTAAATTTGCTTCTCTTTTCTGTATCCTAGGTTATTTTTATTTATTTCTTACAATTTCAAATAATACGGTCTTATGAGTTTTAATACAAAAAAAACACACAAGTTTGATAAAATTAGATGTACCTACTATTGATGTTAAGAAAACCTGAAATACAAAATTTACTATGAAAATAAAATGTGACGTTTCAAATTAATTATTTGTCAGTTGTAACAAGACATAGGTAACAAATATTTTATCAGAAATAAAATAAAATAAAATAAAATAGAACACGTTTTAAACTACTTAACCTAGATGTCTTCATTTTAAATAATAAAAATGCATTGTGTTATGTAACATTTTTATAAGGTACCGACAGCATAGTTGACATAGAAAATTAACTGACACCAAAATTATTTTAAAAAGCCCAGCATTCCGAAAAATGTAGTTAAAAAATATAACTGGCATATCGTGTCGAGGGCGTCGTATCCTGTGCTCTATAACCGCAAGTTCCGTTGATGTCGCACTCGCGCTAAGCACGGCCACATATCATTAAGAATAGAATAGAACAAAAGGAATACGAGCCACTAATTACGACCCAGCATATGAAATGCTAATTTAAAATGTTAGCAGAGGTCTTCATGTGTTTTTTTAGGTCTTGCAATATAAAAAAAAAATCCTACGTTTGCAATTTTAATCATCGTTTACCATCACGTAGACTTCGTGTGGTATGGTTGTGAAATTGTACTTAAAGATTTTTTGATTATAATTTTGTGAATTTAATTGAAAACAAAATGGTACAAATTAACAAAGATTTTTTGATTAATCATACTTATAAATGCGAAAGTTTAGATGGATGGATGTTTATTAGAGTTTGTAGCCTAAACAGATGAACCGATTTCCATGAAATTTGGTCTAGATGTAATGGATATTCTGGAAGAATACATGGGCTACTCACTTTTATTTTTTTTAATTCCAAGCGGACGGAGTCGTGGGCGAAAGCTAGTGGTTTCTAAATACGGTTTTATTGTGCAAGTCCGTCAGTTTCTATTTTAAAAATATTATTAAATACATTCAAAGTTAAGGTTAAAATGATTTTCAATTAACAATTAATAAACACTAAGAACACACAAAGTATACAAGTTAAAAAAAACATGAATACGTGCCGTTTGTATTGGTTGCAGCATTTTGCGTATAGAAAACTTACTTCGTAACTCTCTGCATACAGATCTGTATCACTAGACACAACTTTAAGTCAAACAGACTGGAAAATTCCTAACTAGAAGATGAGATTTATCCATAGATTAAATAAAAACTTTTATAACAGCTACCATGTACAACTACATACTTACGATCTGGAACATCCAGTGTATAAATGGCGTCAAATAGCGAGCCTTAGAATGGACTTAAAAGACTGCATAAATAACCATTAAACAATAATCGGTAGTTTTTTTAATAGTCCAATCTATACTAATATTAATAAGAGGAAATATTTGTATTTTTGTACAAATTGAAATAACTCAAAAACTACTGGGCTGATTTCAAAAAATCTTTCACCATTAGAAAGGTAATTTATCTGTGTGTAACATATGCTAAATCTATTATTATTATTTTAATTTTACGGGGACGACATCGCGGGCAACAGCTGTCATTTTTGTAATGAATATATTTTTTATCGTAAATTCATGTTGCTAACTAAATCGGATATTAAGTATCAGAGAGTAAGCTTATTACGTTTATAGGCGGATTGGAACAGTTTTATTACTAACTAGTTATTGCCCGCGACTTCGTTAGCGCGGAATAAAACAAGAGTTGCCCAAGTTACTTACACTCATATTAGCTACCTTGTAACGAACATTTCGTCGAAAGATGCAATTCGTTTTTGGGATTTTCCGGAACAAACGCAATTTGCGGACAGACAGACAAAAATTTGAAAAACTTTTTGGTTATAAGTACACACAGATACTGCAATGTATAATACTGGTAGAGGCAAAGGTTTTGAAATGAGAGTGAGTTTTCACTGCCGACAAACACGAGAAAACATTGTTAACTCTGCTCTTACAAAGGAAATGAAAAAGATGATGTTATTGTATGTGATTCTATAGTAGAAACTATAGTTATGTACAGTATAACTTACACCAGTGTAAGAATATGTAAGAAAATGAAAAATGTAGTACAAATGTTATACACTATATTTTTAATGTACAACGACCTGTAGAGTATTAAGTAGCGTAGTTTATTAAAATGACAGCTGTTCTATAAAATCCTTTATTAGAAACTTACCACAGGGTTGTCAAAAAACTATTTAATTCTAATAATTAAAAAAAAATTCTATTACATTTCTATCAAAACGAAAGTAAAACTTATTAATTATTTGAATTAAAATTAAAGTTTTTGACTGAATACAAAAAATGTCCAAAAATTGTGAAGTAATGTCTTTTTAATCTCATTAGTTAAGTAGCACTTTGATAAAATATCTTTATTTTTTTGCAATAACCCTTTTATTTATGAATTGTGTGGCAACCTTATCGGTTACACGTCGTTGCGAGGCGCAGGTACGGTGTATGAAGGGCGTGGAGTGCTGCATGCAAGGCTGCGCCCTTGCGGAACGACGCAAGGCAAGTGTTTTATTGTACCGGAACATGAAGATTCTCTATAACATGTTTCACACCTCTTTTACTTAAAGGAATTAAGAGTAGAAAAATAAAATTAAAAATAAAAACAATATTACTTTTGTATTATTTATTCAGATCTTATATTCGAGTTGCGATCCAGGAAGTGTTTTACGAAATTTATAGCTTTCCTAAAGCCCGCTACAGACGTTCAGTTTTAATTTCAGTTAAAACTGAGAGTATATAGGGGGCTTAATATTTCATGGTTATTTTTTTAATTACAAATAATGAAATCAGTACTAAAATGTAATTAGGTTTCTTTTCTAGTGCAGTTGTTTTCAATTCAAGATTAGTTTATTTCTTTCCTTCAAAGTGGGTAAAAAATGCAAAAATCCTCCACAAAACCAAGTAATTAGAAGTAAAGAAGCACTCTAAGTTTTAACGAGCACTTCCTGTGAGAAATTGCGAACTTAGAAAAATCAAGGCGCAGTAAAAGAATGGCAAGTAAGTTAGATCGGAGAGAGAATAGAGAGGGAAGTGTTATCGAAAGAAAAGACTTCTTAAATTCTAACTGAATTAATGCGAGCTTTAGAAAGCTCATGAGCGTCGTTCGTTTGCGGACTAAGCTTTTTGAAATAGTGCGGCTACCGTTTTATTGATAACGTAAGATTGTTTTATTTAATTGTTTTTGACCTTCTATTTGTTATAGACAAATTATAAAAGTTATCAAATAAACTTAAACTAGAAATAAAGTTTTTCTAAATGTAATTGAAAAATAAGGGTTTATTATCAAATGAATATTTTCATGAGCCATTTCTATAAGTATACTCAAATTTTCATAAATAAAATGTTTAAAATATTTGCTTTAAGCTTTCGGAACAATAGCTTATTCATTTTTCTTTTGTTCTTGTTTAAAATGCCATCGTGAATTGTATGGAAAAGCCTATTTTATTATCAAACTAGCTGAAGCCCGCGACTTCGTCCACGCAATTTAAAAAAAAAAAACAGACTATAATATGGCGCATTTTTATATCTGGAATTACGTGTACATTTAAAAAAAATATTAATTATGTTTTGTTTCTTGCTTAAGCCGAAAATTACCTTATTTATTATTATATCACTTAGGCTAAGAGGCTATTTGTTAACTAAACTGCACTATTAAAATTCTTACTACAAAATAAATACTTACTAAAAAACCTTTACCCGAATCTTGAGCATATCTCTTTTTTAAAGGCCGACAACGCATGTTCATTTCCTCAGAATTTTACTTGAATGGTGGATGTCCTAGCATTGATGATTATGTTACTTGCTCCCTTCTCTCATAAATCTAAAATTATATTGCCACTAATAACATTAACAACTACGTAATAGTTACATTTTAAAGAGTATTCAGTGGCCTGGAAATGTCGTTCCGTTTTCACGATACGCTCACCTACATTAGACTTACATTAGACTTGATTTTGTAGAGAAAAAACTACCTTATCAAATGTTAATACAACGTATTATTGCTTGCCACATAAAAGTATATATATACATTTATCTAAATATTGAGAAAGAAAATAATTTAGAAATACTACAAACGATAGAAATATAACAAGAATATGATTTTTAGTATTAAATAATTAAATCAGCTTTTCATATTGAAAATTAAGAAATTAGAAACTAAAAGAGTCGTGATTTTGCTTGTTGCTATGACAAATTTCGACCTAATAGCATCTTAAGCTTTAAATAATACTAGCTTCCGTCCGTATGCAATTAAAAAAAAAACGAGAGTAGAGTAAGTAGCATATGTGTTCTTCCCGACTATTCTGTACATCTATGCCAAATTGCATCAAGATTCTGATTTCCATTCAGCAGTTAGCTAAGCTACAAACTCTGACATCTATCGATCTATCGAAACTTTCGCATTTATGTATAATATTAGTTAGATTAGTAATAAGTAAGATGTCACCGTAATGGGTAGGAAATAAACGTCCTCGACTGTCACGTAATATTGAATGATTATGAATTTTCAATTGGCACGGAATATCTGAGCAAATTAATAATGATTCATCATTGAATTCCTATTGTGATCAAATTAAGATCGTGACGAGATTCACGCTGTGAACATTTTGTATTCACATAGAGGTGTGTTTTGTTTAACGCAATCACGAGTAATCCTAGTTTCACACGAGGGCAGAACAGTGAAGCTGGACAGTAAGACAGCGCTTGTACATCGCTAATACACTCGGCATTCGATTATCATCGCTATAGAGAGATGAAAGATGTATGAAACTAACAATTACATTCGAAACATCACGTACTTGTCACGTATTTATTCCCAAAAAAATTGATAATCCTACTCGC